ACCGGAAGTGACTGTGTGTCATCTACCTGCATGAGAAGAGATGCAAATACGCACCTGGCCGTAACCACGTAGCTGCCATTCGACGCAGACGGGGCTTGTTGTATAATAATGTATTATGGTGTAATCATACTCGTATAACAGAAGGCTAAAGATGTAATTTCAGTTCTGTTGATGCAATGTTGTCTAGAAACGTGGAAAAAAGAGAAGTAGAAAGCCTGGAAGTTCGTATCAAGGATTGATGTTTGGTGTAAAGAAAACAAATGTTGTCTAAATAATCCTTTATATCAGCTGTTGTTATAGAAAAGTCTAATTCAATATGTGATTATTATAATTAGTAATTATCAAGAATAATTCCAGTGGCGCCATCTAGTCACGAACTAAGCAGAGCTTATATTAACAACTGATAAAATTACTTAAATGGGCAGTTTTTTTTTCTTTACGTATTATTTATGTTCAAAATCTACCCATTGTAAGAACAAACTATGTATTATAATAGATCCCGTTAGTTTATGTTCCCGCGCTTTTCCCCCCATAGTTTTGACATAACAGACCGTACCACGGCCAATACGCGCGCGCATTATTCCTATACTGAAATTAATAAAAAACGTAGTGTGCAACCTACTGTATAAAGTGAACGCTGGTGAAAACTTCATCGAGACGTGTTAAGAAGCCCCTTACAGGTACGAGACAGACGCTTCCACAATATATAGTATTTTCCCTAATAATATACATACGGAAAAAATCAACCAGAAATTTAGTTAAATGGCCACCAGACCCAATTTCCACATTCTTTTTTCCACTAAGCGGAGAACTGACGATAGTGGAACCAGATAAAATAAGAACATCTTTAGGATAATAAATATTTATCGTCGTAAATACTAAGGTACCATTTCATATTTGGCTTGCTATTTTTGTATTCAACATATTACTATTGATAGCTTTATTATCTTCCTATATAGGTACCTTCTTACCTCATTAGTCAACGTAACTGTTATAGTATTAGATGTAGGTACATTATGCGACTTTCGCTGTACGGCAATTGGCATCGTCTAGAATTGTTTCCAAAGCGGCAATGACATCATATTAGAAATAATATTAGATACCAGGAGTAAGTAAAAAGCGCGGGATAAAGGGGTTGTTCTGCGAATCACAGTTACAAGGACTAAAGGGCGCACGTGTATAAAGTACTTGTATGCTTTCACACCATCTTTTATTATTCAAATCTTTTCCATATTAGCATTTTACAATTGTAGTAGATAATTGTATCTGAGAGCATGTAGGTACTCATATTCGTATCTATCTATATATTCTTGTTGCAATATTAAAGCGATTTTTAACGATTATTTTCAGGGTGAACTAATTTACCGACCCTATCTTGATTTGTACAGGATGTGAAGTGTCACATTTCTCGTTCACCTATTTTTTAATGAAGTGACCAAGTAGAACGCCACACACAGAGTGCCGTCTAGTTCTAAATTAATCAGAATTTGCTTTATGTTTGTAGCTAGGTACAGTGCGCGAATTAAACGTGTGACCAGTAGAAGGCAGTGTACTGGTCACTAACTAGTGCTAACTAGGTGATAAACTTCTACACCACTCAAGTCGTCGATATTATATTAGTTAGTGTGTTAATACTACATTAAAAAGTTTATTTAGTATCCACTAACACGCTTAAAACCATAACCAACCGACCTAGTTTGTATAGAAACTGATTATTCAACAGAAAAATATAATAAATAAACTGACAAAACTGTCTGACATGAGACTTCACTACGAAATAATAACTTAAATATCGTAATATTAATAATAATATAAGAAATAAAATTGCAGCAATGAGCACTTGGAGAATGGCAGGACTAAAGTATGTGAATTTATAAACGATTAATTGTTTAACTATATTGTATACATATAGTAATAATACATACAGACTGAATAAATATTTTTTTGTTTTGTATTTCATATTAGAAAAATAATGAAAATTATTCACAATCTTCTTGTATCTTTCACACAGATCACAATAAGAATAATTCTAAGTTTTGTTATAACGCGTAATTTTTAGCGTTTCACTGTAGCTACATAAACAGTATAATATTTTTTTACAGTTACGTAAATTACTCGAACATAGCGGCAAAAATTTTGCGGAAATCTTTAAAGTCCAATCTGAAGGACGAAGCAACGAAACGTGATCAGTCGTTCATTAAATACTTCTATTGGGATAAAGGGGAACAATTACGTATGACAACTTAATTTTAGCTTTAATATAATGCTGTAAAGTTCGATATCACAATAATAGCTTATGCTCGTTGGTTTATAGTATATACAGTTTATGTACCATCGATTTAAAATGACGCAGTTCTCAATCTAGGTTACAATCCACTGTACCCATACCAAGTAGTAAGTGTTACGTAGTCTTTCACAAATTAAGTTAATATATTTATTGATTAAGATATGGCAGTGTACAGGGTACGGAGGCATACGACCTCAGTCCTCCAGAATGGTAATGAATGTGGTTTATATTGAATTTCATTATGTATTATTGTTTCTGTCATTTATGAAAATATATCTCTTATTTTCGTAATATAGAGACAAAATTACACCTCTATGATTTGTTCAGAAGGTAACGAGCAAATTCACTATAATATTTAAAACAGAGTATATTTTTTGTTTCAGCTCCAGGAGACAAACCGCCACGTGATAAGGAGAAAACTTAAATATGAATATCTGTGAATACACAACTGAACTTATATAATTAGAAATAAAACTCTTGTGCGCATAGCCTATATTTTATTGAAATAATTCAGTCAAATACATCGTGATACAATGTGCTTACATAAAAACACGAAGGCGTCACATTTAACAATATATATTATCGTCATAATAGAAATTTAAAAAAATATATATATACTAATATACCATACTGGCTGTCTCGCGGTTTTGCCCGCGTGAAATAAAGGGTTTTCAGTGTGTTGTAGTCCCCTAATCAGAGGTTTAACTGTCAATGGATTCCTCCCGGTCTAAAACCAGTAAGAAAAAAATTGTACTATGAAGCCTAGTGAAAATCAACTGCGGTTCAGAGGAGCAACGGCCTCGCAACCGCAAAATAAAAAAAAACCGTCATACCCTCCCGGTTGAAACTACTATCAAATCATATTTCAATATATCATACTAATATATTGGAGATTTTCCACATCGAATAACTATGATTTGATAGAAATTTGAACCAGGAGGAAATCACAATTTTTTTTCTTTTCCACACGTTTATAGATGGCGTTGCTCCTAAACCCACTATCAGAGCGGAGATGACTTTCACAAGGCTACATAATATTATGTTATCTATCTTAGGAGTTATAAACAGTGAAGAATTTAGTCAACTTAACATGTTGTTGGATCATTGGTCATTGGAGTATCATAAAGACGAGAAAGAATACAGCGCAGAATGGATATGAGGACATTTACGTTTTGTGGCATTACATTTAATACACACAGTGTTCATTCAAAATTTCTGAGTTGCTTTGTGAATCTACAAAAGTGAAATCTAAGATATGATAAACCTGTGTCCTGTCATTCAAAGCCTTTCAAACGTGATTTATATTCTAACAGTTATTAAACTTCTTAGTATGATAATAATAATATATAGTCTCAAAAAAGTATAACTAACAATGCACTTGCATCCACAAGGGATGAAAATATATTGACAGCGAAGACGCCATTTTTAATCGTAAACATGTACACAAAATGGCGCCCAAGCTAGAAAATATAGCATTATAAATGTCAACATCACATTTATTTTCAATGTTAAAATGTATATTTAATAGTTTTCATAAATTCTACTAACCTAAAGACACAATAAAATGATATACAAAATCTAAGATCAAACTTGTTACCCCTTACTTGCGTTCCCCAAATTGTTCCAACATAAACCAACCTTCTAGCAAATAATCAATCTACCACACCATGGATTTCATGTATTAGCAGACTCCTGTGGCTTTTGATCTACACTCCACAGAGAAGAGACAGTTGTCTTTATCTCTTTTTTGTTGAGTATAGATCAAAAGTCACAGCCACATTTGCTTCTATTACAATTACTATTATTAGAAACAGTAGTAATGTAATAAAATCCCGTTACGCATTATACCCTATAGGACTCCATTTAAAACTTAGTTTACAAAATAAAACAATAGAAACTAATTAAACTTATACATAATAAAAAAATAAGGAATTGTCGAAATATTAACCTAGCATTTTATTTAGTAACAGTAATAAAGAAATTAGTATCTAGATAATGAAATTCGTATAATAATAAGTCTAGTATATTTCGGATACAAACCAGTTTGAGTAATATAAGAAATTTCGGATTAGTCTCGAATGAAAGTGGTACCTTGTATGTTATTAGTGCTTACCAACATCAGATATTTAATTATTAGTCATATGTATATTATTTTATCAACAATGTCAAATACATTAGTTATTTTATACTATCTGAACCTACATAGAGCTCAGTCACAATATAAAAATAAGAGTTTATTTCAAGTTACAGTTCAGGTCTACCACTAAACTAGCATTTATATTGACTATAAACCACTTTTATTTTTTATCAATTGTATGTTCAAGACAGCGAATAACATTGCAATACTTTTATAAAAATATCTTTACATTATCTATTGTTTTTTAATAAAATTTTAAATATAATAACAAACGAATCAACACCTTGAATATATAATTTAATAATTCAAGGTGTTGATTAGTAATATATAATTTAATAATCAATAAAGTTTTAATTGAACACGATTTTTCCTGACGGCGTCAATAAACTATATATTAATAAGAAAGTAACTTTTTTCAACTAAAAGAAATATTAAGGAGTCCTCAAGACAGAGGACAGGTACATCTAAAAAGTTTAAAATGGATTTTGTATAGTTGTAAATTTACTGGTTAACGTTACCATATACTTAGTAGGTGTATTTTGTGCGCTTGAACAAACATTTTATTTCTACTACGTCATAAATTATTATGACGTATCATCTAAGCTTCACCGTCGGTATCCGATTTGTCTGCGGCAGTGCTGACCACCTCTCTCTCGAAATCCGTTTCTCTGTTCCAGCGGCGGCAGGTAGGCATTTTAATCAAACCGTTGTATATGGCGGTACCAAGGATCAGAACAGCGAAGCCGATGAGATGTGGCCAGTAGAATGCTTGCCACCTCAAGGCGAGAGACACCATCCAGATCACGAAGGTTCTGCAAACCAAATTATATATAATTAAATTATTTTCACATTACATAATTTTATATTGAACTACCAGAGATTAAATTATGATTTTTTTAAATAAAAGTTGTCTTAAGTGACTCCTTATAACATTATCTGCTAAAAAGTCCCACCAAAATCGGTCCAGACGTTTCAGAGATTAGCAAGAACAAACAAACAGACATACAAAACTTTTCTTACAAATTATTTTTGTTGTGAGTACCGTACATTCTATTCATCTAGAAATAAATTTAATATTTAGCATTTATTTCTGTCTAAAATAATATCACAGAAGGAGCTTACCTTCTATGATATTACTTTCGGCATCATGAAATAATAATTTTTAGAACATACTAGCTACTACTAGCAGTGACCGCGGTTTCACCTAAGTTTCAAGTTTCACCTAATAAGCTATATTATTCCAAAGTTACAACACAATCCATTGAGTAGATTTTGTGTGAAAGAGTAATAAACATCCATCCATTCATCTACACTTCCACATTTATTATGATGTTATTATAAAGAATTCTATTCTGAGATATATGATAAATCATACCAAAAATTGATTTTACTTAGAAATTATATATACTCGCCTTATAGAGTCCAAAACCATTCTGGTAGTGGCAGACATCTCTTTGGTAACGCTAATGCCGGCAAAGTTGAAGAATGCTATGGACACTATGGTACCCAGAATAGCTGCCAGTAGCATAGGATTATTACCTGAAAATGAAATAGTAACGCTCGATAATTGCCACAGCGCCATCTATTTCCAAGCTAAACAACATTACTGTTATGGATACTAGCCAACTTATAGAAATACATATTTTTTTTGCAAAAACATCAGATACACTCATCCAGACGGGCTGATTATTACGATTCTTTGTATTGGTACAAAGAATCGTAATAATCAGCCCGTCTTGTCGGGTATCAAATTATAATACATTCCGTACCACATACCTATTTGAACCAAGCCATCGATCGCATCTTCTACGGTGCCTCTTGCATTATTCCCAAAGTGTGGTGGTGCTGGTACCCAGTAGAATACTACCAGTAATCCGGATAGCACAGAGAAGCCGAAGACACCTTCCCAGCCCACCGCTTGCAGTGGTGGAATGTTGAGTCCTAGAAACCGATTAAGAAAAAAAGAAGTTTCGTTTCCATGTGTTCAAACGTACCAGAAGTAACTGTTTTTTGTATTCTCATACAAGTGAAACAGTATTAACTTGTAAACTTTACCACTTTATCTCCCATTCAAATTAATATAAGATGAGAAGTCAACTGCTCTGTCATAGACAGTATTATAATGTAGACTTACTGGTATTGCATTATTAACATACTGACATTTGTGTAATAAAATATTACAAACAAATATGTTATTTATATGCCTAGTTCAGCGAATTACCAGCAGAGTTTAAAAAAACTCTTTTTAAACTCTGCTGGTAATTCGCTGGAAATACCCCTAGTGTGAGACGGAAAAGTTAGAATAGAATGGAATTTAATAGAATAGAGGAAAAAATAATTATTGTAAATCAGCAGAAATTCGGCTAGGTACAATTAGCAGATTTGAATAATTTTGAAAGCAGTTATAATGTCGAGCAGAATTCGAGCTGACATAGGTCTTTGCAGTAAACCAAACCAAATTATAACGAAGGTTACGAGTGAAAGTTTAACAAATTCACCAATCTTGACGAGGCAAAGGCTGCTTATATGTAGGTATAGTATATCAATAAATTATAATAGTAAAATCAGCAGCTGGAGAAATTAGACCGAAATATTCATAGAATTTAATTACGAAATAATCTGCAATTTAGGTAAATAATAATTAACCTTTTCATTTCAAAGTACTAATATCGTATTTCAACAAATGAGATTCCAAAGTTTGCATTATGCATTGGAGATGCAGGCTGGTTAGGCATTTAATTTTGTAGACGAAACAACGTTCAGGCACTTACAATGTTTAGGCATCGATCGTTAGGCAATCTACTCAATTGAACTGTTACATTACTAGCAGTGACATGTTACATTTTAAATACTGTGCTCATAACCCGATATTTATTATTTTATTGGCTGAAATTGCAACCTATCTGCTTGATGGAAAGCTGTAACAGTCATCAATCGACATAAATAAATAACCCTGGACAATTTACACAGCGCCATCGGGTCACCGGAGCTTGTGTTATGGATACTAGACAAATGATATAGATACTTATATATATATATATATATTTTTGTAAATACATACATAATATACATTGAAAACACACAGATAGATACAAACAATCATACTCATGAATACAAATGCATGCACCGTGCATGATTAGTAACATGGATCTCTAAAAATAAATTCTAATCCTTTTAAGTAAGGCATGATGCCTCTTGTAAAGCAGTTTGCCTATTGCCTTTATTTACATAGCAGCAAAAAAAAGGTGATATAAAACTAACTATATAGACGACATTGTATAAATACTCCATTACTAAACCAATTATTCATATCGAAACAATTAAGGGAAAGTGCAATGAAAATACTATCTGAATGGCTATCTAGTTTAAAGATGTTTTAGTTGATTTTATGTCCTCCCGTCTAGGGGGAAATGTTATCTATATAAATTTATCTTAGGATACTGAACACAGTATATAATATTAATAGGATCATACTCAATACATCTAACAACATAGTTTAATCTAGTAACGGTACCTGAGACATATTTTTCTTCGTATACCATCTGGCAGGCGCTAATAACTTGAGCCACAATTATGAGAAGATCGCCAGTGATCAGGCTGTTTCTACCCTTGGACTCGCCGTTAGACTGGAAAATAGCGTCAGTCACTCCAACAATAAGTAAACCGATGATAACGTGAGCTGGAAATAGAAATAAATACTACTTAATTGTTATGTATATATAACATTCTCGTGTAATGATGTTAGTTACCATACTCCTCCGAAATGGTTTGACCGATTTTTATGTAATTTTATACGCATACTCTGGTAGGTCTGACAAGCGGCTACTATCTATTTTTCATACCCCTAAGTTGTAATTTTTTATTTATTATTTGGACATTTTTTCTATAATGCGGCATTAAAAAAACAACCCTATATTTTCGACTTACTATCAGCCCCTATTGTTAATAGCGATTAAAATTTATATGGCGAAACAACGTTTGCGGGGTGATCTAGTGATAGGTATATAAATACAACGATAAACTCCTATTTTGTCTCATATACTTATTTAGACCGACTTATCATTATATCTAGGAACTGATGCACTTTTATTGATGTCAGTGACATGTATATAAATGTTTATAGAATAATTAATGCTAATTGAATCAATTGCGTCCACTCATTGTACATAAATCACACTCCACTGGTGCTCCGCTAGTGTAATATATATGTACATATATCGTTAACTTAGGCTTAATGTTAAGAATTAGAAATGCGCCTTATATTATGAATAATACGGTATTTTTCATTTAATTGGGTACAATATATTTATATCACCCAATTTATATTTACTCAGTTTGTTTACTAATTAATAATGAACATATGGTCATTATTACATTGTGTGCCACAGTATAGTCTCAAAACTGTGTAACTGATTCATAACAGTAAAATCAATAACTGACTAATAGAAGCTACATTTTTGTGCACTAAATACCTAAATGTATATTGTATTTTCTTACTCAGTTACATTCGAAAGAATAATAGCGAATTATCGCTGTGTATGCAAATTCATGTGAAAGAGAAATATGAGACGTACCACTGGACTGTTAATAGATAAAAATATGTACCAAGAATTGTTTCTGAAATATAATCCTCTAAACCTACCTGTAAGTTGGATTAGAAAACAATTACATTTTCCTTTGTGTTGTTTTGTCCACCAATTTATATTTATAAGTAGGTTTATATGTTTTTATATAGGCGTATACGTTTTTATTGTTGTTTCGTTTATTGTTAAATGTATTTTCAACGAAGTATTCACGATAAAAATCGGAAAGGAGATTAGTTCTTAATTTCGAGACCAAATATTTAAAAAGATGTAAAAGTGGAGGTAATATATAAATTTATACAACATCTATAAACATGATCCCTTCAATTAAAAATTTATGGCATCCAATATTTTAATACGACCAATCTCAGATGTACACAAATTAACAAATATTCAAAATAGATACAACATACTTTTTCTTTCAATTATTCAATATATATATATATATATCTTTATATTGAAAGAAAAAATATACATCTGAGATTGGCCGCAGTAAAATATTAGCAAACAAGTGCTTTTAATTGTTCTCGTCTTAGATTCCCTTAGAATTACTTAGAATCCCGTACAATACTTGAAGATTTACAAAAATGTCAATTTTTCCCGTTTATGATTTCAATGAAACAATTTACCGGTGTATGTTTTGATAACAGAGTTATGTGGCCAGGTTGCTTATGCAAGCTGGTAGCACATTGTTTTGGGTGCAGTTGCTGTTTCAAGAAGGCCCATCTGAACATGTACATAGGTGAAACATTTTCAAACATTCAACTATTAATTATGTAGCCCAAAATATGGGCTAAGCCACAACCAAAAACTGTGCCACTTTACATTTATAACTACTGTCAGTTTATGGAAATACCGAAAATAAATCACACATATATATATATATAGTATCTATGATAGTAAGTTTTTAAATAATTGGTAAATATTCGTTGCCCTTCGACCGCTTTCTGTCTACCCAATGGTTAGCTGGTAGCTCGCTAATTGTGTACATAGGTATATTACTAATAAATAGAAAATAAAGGTTCGACCCGCCAACTCATTGAAGCGGTTTTATTTTGTTTTTAAATAAAATTTTATATAAGTACATTTGTTTGACATTTTTATTTTTGTAACAAATATATCCTAACGCTGTCGTACTATTCGTATGTTATTATTACCATATAATTATCTAAATATTTTTCATCCCAAAACCTTCGCTCCCTCGATCCTCGATCCCAAAAAGTCTCTCACTCATCAGGTATATCAGATACCACTTGTTTAATTATGACAATACCCACCACCACGACAGGCAGGAAAAGGGGTATTTCCCGTTACAGTTGTGAAGGTATATCATCTATTATTCATTTTAAATTAAACTGCATCACAGACATTTTTATCAGTAATACCCGTGAGCCCATTTACATTTCTACGAACTACCACTACTATATCTCATGTTACAAATAATAATTGTTTGCAAAGAATTTGATTTGCTTGCTAGGTGGTAATGTGAGACAGGTGTACATACAAAGTCTCAATGTATCGGATGACAGTCTTTATCGTGGGAATGGGAATATGACATAATAAGCACAGGAGGGTGTTTTGATTAATTTAAATTCTTTCTTGTTACTTTATTTATTAGTTAATTTTAAAGGAAGAATAACAACCCATAATAATAATAATCTCAGGACAATTCACAGCCTATTGTGTTATGGGTAAATAGCTGATAGAAATATGTACATAGATTTGTTTATATATTTTTTATAGTAAATACATACATACCTATTATACATAGTAAACACCTACACTGATAAAAACAATTACACTCATGAATACAAATGTTTGTGCCCTCCGAGGAATCGAACCCGCGATCATCGAAAGTAAGGCGATGTGCCAAACTGCTAGACCACTTAGGCCATCAATAGTAAATGGAAACCGTTTTCAAATAAATATTTTATTTATCTGAGTTTAGAACTTATATTAGATAAATCTATATTAAAAATATCAAACCAAGAAAATCTAAAAGAGTGCAATGTAGGATTTTGTTAACTTTCCTGGAAATTCTAAGATTCTCCCGTAAAAATGCAATTAGTTTTTAAAATCTCCCGGTTCCAGGAATGCAGCTTATCTTAGAAATTTTCTTTGCAATTTGCCACATACGGCTTCAGCTATATCGTTAATTAAATTACCTATTATCGTGGCTTGATGTTATTATTTCTGATTAAAGGGCTTTAAAAATCTTTACCTAGTATAAAATAAGGTCACTTCCGCTGTCTGTTCGCTTAGGACTTTTAAATTACGCAATGATTTTTAATGCAGTTTTTAATAATAGATAAAGTGACTCAAGAGGAAATTTTATATATATACATATAAATATTATATTAAAAAGCATATGTTTTTATTATATTATATATACCTGTAACACAATCCTGTAAGACATCCGTATAGTGATAGTTAAGTATCAAATTTGTCAAGTCGTACTAATAATTAATTATTCTATTCATTTAGTCAGTTGCATCCATTGCAATTACAGAGGTTCCGTGAATATGAAATATGAGTAAGTGCAAATATGCAACTTTTTATCTTTGTCGTTATTATTTGCAAGTGTATTCAATTCCCATAAGCTATGCATTGTCAACGAGATAACGTTTATTATACGTAATGCATGTACAGGGTAATATCATAGTTACTAAGTGAATTTGTTACTAGGTGGATTTGTAATAGTATATATAAGTTTATATTTGATCTATTGAAATATGTATGAACTGTACAACATTATACAGTAAAAGCTTGTACATAATTGTTTTGATAAATATATTGCATTAAACCTCGTTGTAATACAAAACATATAATCAGAAGCAATGAAAGGTTACCTTCACAGTCATATAAAATTCTTAAGAATGCAAACACGATGTTATTATATAGGTTTGTTAATGGTGTTTGCCATCTCAGGTAATGAATGCTTCACATTATGATACTAGATTATTATCATAAATATAACAAATATTGCTATGTATAATAAAACAGAGCAACTATTTAAGTGTATATAATATAAATGAGCAGATTAAACCATAATCAGATACTACGTGGGGATTAATCCACGTCTACTGGAATATGAGATGACTACACCACAAAGGGTGCCAAATGAAATAAAATTACTTACCAATTCCCGTCCATTCCCGCTTCAATATGGTCCTGTCAAGGAACGTCACAGAGAGCATGGCGACGAATATTATAATAGAGCCTCTGAACATTTGGAAACTGCTCGCGTATGTCAAAGTCAGCCCAATGTACATTATGGAGGTACCAACCTGTTAACAAAATGTACAAAATATAAATAATTGTATATTTACATATTTGTAGAACCAATAATATGTAGTGCGCTAGAAGTATAGTAATAGTAATATAGTAGGGGGATACGTTCCAATAAGTTAAGCTAAACGAAACAGCGTAAAACGAGGATATCTTTATTTATTTATATTATAGTAAAATAAAGACATATATAAATATAAAGATACATACGTAAATACAAAGATAAATATTATACATAAATAAACATATAATGATCTGATAATCAAAATAGACATACATAAACAGCCTTAAATTGAAAGAAAAAAAGAAAATATGTAGAGAACTATAGGAAAATAACAGAAAAATGTGAGATAAGGAGTACAGTAAAAAAACAAATTCAAATTTAAATAATATTCTCGTATTTCCGTTTCAATTAAACTTTACTCGTGGCGATTTATCTTTCTTTCTTTTCTTCGAAATCACTATGATCAATATTTTGGTTTATTCTTGCTAAGTTAATTTCTTGAGCTCGTTATTAAAAAGACTAGCTGCTGTTTCTTGTACCACTTACTCAAAAAAATCTTTCCTCTATGTTCCAAAAACCCGGCTTGAAATAAATGAGCGCTAAACCGAAAAAGCGTTAAGGGGGTCTAATTGTATTTAGAAAGGTATAAGAAATTATATATAAAACCGCTATCCCCAAAACGCACACATACTCATCGTGTCATCTTACTTACTATACTTTCGGTGTTATCCATGCGGGTTACGCCCCTATACTATTTCTAGTTACTTCTTTTGTATGACTATATTATACAAACTCGTAAACAATAAATTAGTCATCATATCCTAATCACAGTATTTCATAAACATTTTATTTCGCTAATATGTATTATTTAGTTATTTATTTATATATATTTGAATGATTTTTTTATTTATCTTATGTATATCTCCAACACCCGGTTCTTATATTAGGATTTCTATATGTACTCGTATATATATTGACTACAACGCACAACCCACATTACTAAGTTTGAAATCTGACAACATTTTTAAGGTCTCATTTTTGAAAATTTTAAATAATGACACTGCGCCTGGAAAGCAGCGGCTAACACCTTATATATTACAATAAGGTTGTTGTAAAAATTACAGCTACTTAATTATTGTCTAAATTTATAGTTCTATTATACTAGATTCATGTCTTTTACCTCTATTCTGTTATGTCAATACTTTCCTAATATATTTTCGTATGCCAAGTTTTTTCGTTTGACCTATACATAAATAAAATACAACTACAACAATTATTATATATGATTTATATATATTCTTTTCTGCAACTTTGTACCGCTGTCGTAGACCCCTTGCAGTTTGTCATAGGCCCCTGAGGGTCGACATAGACCACTTTGGGTATCACTGTTCTAGTTTATTTTTGTTATTTAGTACCTATAGATACGATGGGATTGTCATCGTCACATGTTGTGTACAAAATACCCGATAAAAAAGATAAAGAGAAATAAATAAAATAAAAGGATGACGTGATGTAGGTACGTGGTGCTATTCTTGCTGTCCAATTACAGAAAAAATGCATAGTTTCCAATTTGTGTGTCGATAAAAATCTTTTTCGAACTATTACTGAAACACGACAACTATTGATTTACCGTACTTCAAAATTATAGGAAATTGACGTGACTTCGATAGCTAGCAATACGTTGTTACAATGTAAATTGCAACAACCTTCCCTGTCATATTTATAGATAATCCATACACCGTTTACTAACAGGTGCACTGCCATTAATTTAGTTAAGTGACCAACACAAAAATAGAATCTTCATGTAGCTTACTATATTCTACAATGTACTAACATAAAGTTAGTACATTAAACTATACTTATAAAAGTAAAAATTATTTATTTTTATAAGTATAGTGAATCCATTTGAAGGATGAAATTATGTTAAGTATTATCATTTATTTATGATAAAAAAGTACATAAGGGTTCCATATATATTCCAGAATAGATTCGCAGACATCATGACTCTCTACTGTAGAAATCACTAAGATAACTTTTTTTAACGAATTATTTAATATTGTTATTTAAAGGATGAATATAGAATGGTTACCGAATCATTACTTATAAAAAATAATAACACCAGCTTCACAGACATCATGACTCTCTACTGCAGAAATAACTTTGGGCTTCTTATTAGTGTAGATCGCCTACATAACTATTTTCTTTTATTTGATTGTTTGGGCTATTATCAGATGTTATTTTCCCCTTTTATTTGTTTAGTTTTATTTAACGTATATATTTTATTTTAAATCTTAGGCTCCCGCTGCGATTGGAAACAGGGGAAGTTTTCACTGTAGGGATATATATATTATATTATACATATTTTCATAATTACACATATATTATACATAAAATATTATATTAAAGTATATAATAGATTTAATATTTAAATATAAAATTTAATCATAAAAAGTTTTCGCATGTACGTAGTGTACACTTATGTATTGTTAATCTGTTTTAACTTATAAATAATACTTTTAGCCAGGGCATCATAAGCAGCAAGAGTTTCCGGCTTCTTAATGAGGCTCATCAAATTATAAGGGGAGTCAATCGTAGCACCTGTAGCACTGCGACCTACATAGATCTATTGTGCTCGCCCTTTTTCAAAGTTCGCTACCTAGACCCGTCTGGGACAAGAATTGGAGGATATTCTTAGGAGCGATGGTTTTTATCTCCTCGGGAAAGAGTGTAAACTTTCCAAAGGAGATATTTCGGAGGTCGGAGCAGAAATAACTAAAATAACTTTATTTTTATGTGATGAATGAATATAGAATGATTATCGAATCATTACTTATAAAAATAATAACACCAACTTCACACACATTATGACTCTCTGCTGCAGGAAGGTCAAACTATATTTTTTAATGCATGATAATGGTACAGTGTATCCGCTTGCGCTAACAGTATGCGGGATACAGGTAGAGGATGGTAAGATGTGAATGAAGTCAACTTCTTAGCCCATCATTATGAATTTAACAGTTATTACGCAGGGTGGTTTCTATGAAAAACGCGTAACAATGCCTTGTATCCCCGGCCAAGAGTATTAGAATAGTTAAAAAATTTGCTTATGGAGATATTTTGATATTTAGAACAAACTGAAATGACCCCCGTGATCGAGCGGTTTAGCACACCTGCATTTCTTCCGATGGTTGCGGGTTCCATTCCTAGCACAAACATTTTTATTCATAAGTACGATTGTTTTTGGTTGTATGGATCTGGGTATTTTCTATGTATATTATGTATGTATTTTTAAAAAAAACCTATGAATGAATATCCGTTGTCTAGTACCCATAACACGAGCACTGTTTAGCTTGGGACTAAATGGCGCTGTGTGAAATAAAACACACATAAGTGCAGGGAATTACTATCTTAAACCGTGTTCATGACTTAATGCCTGCAACGCGCTGTGGTTATAGCGCCTAAGAATTCTTCAATTATAGTCCCTGACAATTATAGGTAGTGAACTTTGAAAAAGGACGAACACATTAGATATATGTAGTTTGCAGTGCTGTAGGTCTAAGTACCTGCAATAGCCCAAAACTCAGTAAAATAAATACTACCTCATTACCTACTGCATCTGGAAACTTATTCATCCATTTTTATACTATATTGTAGTATAAAAATATAGATCTAGACTCAAGTTAAGCTAGCTAGATAACTGATACAAATACATAGATATATGTTTTTTTCGTAAATACGTACATAATATACATAGAAAACATAAAGACTGATACAAACACCCGTACTTATGAATACAAAATGTTTGTGTCCTGCGAGGAATCGAACCCGCGACCATCGGAAAAGGCGGTAAAATGCTACGATGCTAAACCGCTAGATCACAACTCTTATACTGAATAGTGTAGTCAACTGTAGTCGTAGAGGCATTCATAATTGACGAGAACATGGTGAACGTTGACATTTCGCTAGGAACGTTGCAAGTGGCTATTTGGTATTTTTTTTATTGTGTTTTCACCGGAAGAATACATTTCGATAGTCAGTCTTAAATAAAAATTGACACACAGATTTTATTGCTGTCGGACAGATTTGAACTGGCAACTAGTTGCCGTTTCTAGAAATCCCTGACTAAGTCAGTTAACATTAAACTGAAAGCAATGAGGCAATAATTTGGTATCAAATAATATTTGTTCGCTCCACAAAACATTGACAAGACTTGCAGTGTAATAAATAATAGAGCTATTTGGGCATATAAATTTAATGCTAAAATAGAAATTTGTGGAGAACTGCTACCTATACTAGGTATACGAAGAAACTGAAATAAGTACAACCTGTTTGACAGAAATCAGTTCCTGTGCTCTATGGATATTGTAGTCTGTTAACTAGCTGGTAACATCTGTGTTGCCAATCTCAAAGTAATGCTTTTGAAGAACATTAAGCTATTTTATAATATATATTATAATATATATACTCATATGGTACCTGCATGAAAATATAGTACATTATAAACAGTAGATGTAATATTATTATTATAGAAATGACTCACCAAATCAAACATTGCGGCTGGCATCAATACAAAAGGATTGAAGTTCTGATTGCCTTGGGTTAGAGAGTGTTCGCTGCTTCTCAATCGGTATACAAGTTTAAAGGTCAGCAAACATAGGATTTCTCCAAGGAACATAGCTGCAGCCTGAAAATTTACTATACAGTTAGTTTTTGTATGTTTGTGTTTAATCTGGCTTTCATTAAGTTAGTTGGAAAATAGTAAAAAATATTGACCTCAGGTTTAGTTTTTTTAATATTTAAAATTATAATCAAGTTATTTAAAAAAGTGATTTACTGTTTAACCTATTAAATTAATACCGAAATTATAAGCTAATACCGTAGGCATCAGGAATGACAAAACATGAGTAATGCTAGTGGCAATACAAAAGAAAGAAAGGAATATATATATTTGGCCACATACAGTCTACAAAGTAAATATCTAATATATATATATTAGATATTTACTTTGTATTATATATTATATACATATTAATATATGCATATTAAATATTTGCTTTGTAGACTATATTTATATATATATATATATTATAGCTGCGACCAAATTACCAATCCGCTTTGTGTCTAGGCTGTAATGCATATAGTTACAATTACAAAACACAACTTGTATATATATCGAAAATTACTTGTATAATTAGACATACTTGTAAAAATGGATGCTCAAATTGCCTGACTTCTCCATCGGAGCCCTGGGCATTCAGCTTGTCAGCCCATTTGGTGCACAATGTGTTGATTGACCCCGTCACAACAAGCATTAATGCTAGAAACTTCTGGTATCCTGACCATGCCATTCTGTTAAACATTTTCAGTATTAAATAAAACACAAATTACATATTTAAGTATGGTATGAAATAACTTTCTGAGTTTTCAAATACATTTACAAAGAAGAAATATAAGAAAAATACATCACTAAATTATGTGTTGGTCCCTCTGTTTCACTTACTTCAGCTGCTTATATTTATATTTAAGATGTTTTCTTCTTATACTTCAATATATCAAATCTAAAGTATCATTATTCATGTAGGACTATTACAGATTCTTATAATATATCCAATCCACCAACAGTTCAGAGTGCTTTAAAGCTAAGCGCTACATCCTAGGTCTTGCCGTCATTTACCATCAGATGAGGTAAGACCAAGCGTAATCCCATTATTAATAAAAAAAAAGAAGAACTGACAAGAATCTCAGTTCTTATTCTTTTCAAATGAGTACATATTTAAGAAAATATAGATTCATTTTTGAAAACTAATTTGAAAGTATATGCTATTGCAATTTGTCAAAAAGGAATAGCTTAATCAGTATCTGTAATCTGGACAGATCAGAAAAGCAGTACCCATTCACGAGTATGATGGATGAGTCAGCCATCATTGCACTCAATCATATTATCGGGAGCACATTGACTTGGCCCATGAAGCCACTACATGTTGTACTTTATAGAGAGAATGTACTGTTTCAAGTTACTCTTATATAGGAGGAGGAGGGGATTTTATTGTTAGTAATGAGTACTAATGACCCCTTGTTAACAATATACATAGGCAATTTATCTCAATGCAGTTTTCCCTGAAATAATAGTGATAAATTCCTTTATCATTTCTTTCACTGCACAATCAGCATATACTGTTAGCGCAGACAGAAAAATCTGAACTCCTCCAGATTGGCATTTAAATAATTTCATGTATATTTTTTTATAAAAATTACTTTAAAAATGGTTGTCACAGTATGTAGCGCAGGAGAGTATTATTTATCAGTACAGATAACTGTTGCATACATGCCCAATCCTGATAAGTAATTTACTATTCAATTGCTCTTAACCCTTTCCACTGTAATGTCACTCGACATTGATTTTGTTCCACCAGTTCCACTATTGAGTGACACTCAACATAGTGTAATACTTCTTTTTTAGCGTGGAGCAAGAAAAAGAAAAAAAAGGCTTGGAGTGGAAAGGGTTAAGTATGTAATAGTACTCTTGCAATATTTCATATAACATATGTAAGTATTAAATTATTTTATTTTCTTATCAGGGTCATTTACAACAAGCTATAATTATAAATAATAAATTTAAAAATTTAATTTTATACCATTTTTAATCATCTGGTGTAATAAGACAATGTGCTAGAGGTGGACACCAATAATATTTTCTATATGGCTTTTATACATATTATTTAACATACTGACTGATTAATTCTTAGGTACATGTATAGCAATATATTGAAAAATATATGTACATTGTCTGCCAATATATAACCTTTGTGTTTAGAGGTCAAGGGTCAGGCCTATCTGTTTTAATTAATTTATTAAGTACTATTCTTCACATATATTAATTAAGAATAAATGTACAAAAAATTTTAAAATTTTGAATTCACTAATAAATAAGATATATAATATAATATTTAAATTAATTTATATAATAGGGTTTATTTTTCAAGTTTATTTTAATAACTTTGTTATCATTTTATGAGCATAAATTTTACATACACTATACGTTCAATGGTTTTCAAGAACAAAGAAAAAATTGTGGATTGTGGTAATTTTTTTTAAACAAAGTCAGGTTTCTTGTTACAAAGTTAATTTAAAGTTGACTTTTAGTAAGTTACATTGATAATATTGTACATTTATTACAATACCTAATAACAATTTTTAACATTTTCACTTAGAGTAAATAATTAATACAAAAACCACGTACCTAAGATATACGATGTTCAAACTTCAAGACGAATATAATGAAAAGAACCTTATCAATTCAAAGAAGGAATCAAAGTGAAATGCAAAAACAAACTGTCATTGTGTGTAGTGTCATTGGAGGTACAGAGCACTTATCTGTTCTGTCAGGGTGGCACCTCCACATGAAAATGACATTTAAATTGAATCTATGTAACCGTTGTCATTATTCTCAAAAAACTGTTTTTTATAAACCTATTTTCGTACAAATAAGGATTTTTCTATTATGTGAGAGGTTTTCAAATATGGAGAAAAATGTTCAAAATTTGATGGATTGAAATAGATACATAGAAAATATATCAATAAAAAAAAGTTGTTTACACAGTTTTATACAAATCATTTTCTGTTCAGAGTGCGCCAATCGTAGACAGAGAAAACATTGTATTAATAGTCTAAGGCAACATCACGTTTGAGTGTTGATCTATGCTGTCATGTACTGTCACTGTCAATAAAGTATATGATGTAGTGACGAAAAGTATTCTGTGCTAATGTCAGACCGCAATGTTGCCAATGAGTAATATTCGTGTTGTTTGGTTAAAAATTGTCGTCGTAGTGATTGAAATGCAATTTCCAAAATAACTTTACTCTAAAATAATACATTTTCCTTTTATATACACTTAATTTTATTACTAAAATTATGCTAGACATCGTTCAATAAATTAAAATTCTAAACGTAGTGGTAATATGGTTAGCAAAGTTATTATAACTGAAAGTACGTACTTTGATAATATCTATTATAATTGTAGATCTATATAAACACGGTCTACTGTAGCTAGCACCAGTGCATGATAGAAAGATGAATATTTAGCGTATCCAGATGGTTTTTAAGGAGTACCTACTGCGTGGAGAACGAATTGATAGGAAATTAGGACTATATATGATAATAGGCGGTAATCGAAGCTTGTGTATGACACAGACTACAGGGCAAAAAGTATGATATTTAAGTAATCTGAAACGGCAACGCATCACCTCCTAATGTGACCCTATAACTGAGACATAGCGTACAAAATAAGTTGCCTGGTGGCCGAAATAGGACTGAGGTACTTTTTTTTTTTTTTCGGACTACTCTAATGCTGTTGGCCGTAGCTGGCCTTTACAGCTTCACCGGACGTTGCAGATAACTTTTTATAGTCTGCTTTTGGTGAAGTCCTTGATAAATAATGTACATAGTCAGGATTATTGAAGAATATGATGAAAATAAAATAACTATAGTTCTTTAATTGTATCTCATTTGTTTATTGTAATTAAGTAATTAAAATTAACTCAGTTTATTAGCAAAACAATTTTCTTTGCAGCAAAGTTTGAGAGTCGTCATAAACGGTGCTTATATATTACATCTTATAATAAAATTTGAACTGAAAACATTTTTGAATAAAACTATCTGTAGCTATGACAAAAGGTAAGGATAAAGAATAAAAAATAGAATGAGACCTATCTGCAGTATCTCTATCTTACTTATGCGTGTGGTAGCAGTATAATCATTAACGATACGTTAATTTACCACTTGTCTCTTTTGAGACAATGCTGTAGGTAGGTACTTTCTAATATATATCCGCGCCGTCAGTGACAGTTTAGGAGTAAATATAACTATATTTATAGTTTTATTAGTTACTAATTACAGTAGAATCTGGATATGACGACCTTCAAGGGACCGGGAATACTATGTCTTACTAACAGGATGACGCACTAATGAGCAGGATTATTTCTTAAGTATATACATTAGAAATACATAGTAGAAATCATCTATAACGACTTATAACGACTAATATATTTTAACGACGATAATGTTTTATAGAGTTTGGTTTCACAGTCAGATTATATAACCATTGAGTTCGACTCCGGTTTAAGTGACCAACTGTTGCTGGTCGCTTATAGTACCAATATTTGTTGAACTTTTCATAAGAGATGACAATCACTAACTGTGATTTATGGGCGCCAATTTTTTTTATAAGATTTGCGCGTCGTTGTAACCGGACATATTATTATAAATAATGCTCATTTAAACCGGAGTCGCACTAAATGGTTATATTTTCTTGATACCTGATCTGTGGTACCTGACTATGAAACCAAACTTTATTAAATATTACCATCGCTAAAATCGGTTAGCCGTTACAAGCGAAGTCGTTATGTATGAATTATACTGTAAATACATAATATTCAAATGATGATTTCAGTTCTTCGTCTCAGATAACGATGCATTCGTGGGGGAAGATCAGACCATGTAAGGTGACGCTGGAAGGACATGCTGAAAGATAAAAATAAACACATGAAGAAATTATTATAGAAATATAGTCAAGCAGACACAGACAACGTTCATTTTCTTTTTTTATTATTATTATTTAACTTGTGTTCGAATCAAAAGTGAAGAGAATATTTTAAAGAGTGCTATATATGAATGACATAAGGGTAGAGGATAACCGAAAACGAGAGAGATGGTTGGTGTGAAACATTTTTCGCACCAACCATCCTTCTCTTTTTCGGTTATGCACTCCCTTTCTTTCTATGTCATCATATGGAAAGAAAGGGAGTGCATATCGAGATAACAGCGAACAGGGATGAATAGAAGACAAAAACATGCTGACCACGATAATAAAGAAGCAAATGATAGTGAGTTTACTTCTGTATTAATCAATTTTGGTACGTACTATAATTCATAAATAAAATACTTTTAATGAAAATATTTATACCAAGAAGATACTAATATGAATTTTCTTGTGAAATAAAATTTATAATTACGTATCTAATAATTAAGTACCTACTTCATTCTCTAAGTAGCGTAATGTTTGAGTTATATTATGATAAAAATGTGAATATTTATGTATAAGAACCCCCAATTTAGAATTATAATTAACTAGCCCATCCGTACAACTTTGTTTGCATCATATTTCGCCCATTTTACATAATATCTTTTTAACTTATAACATATGTGTTATATCTATATTACTGTAATTTCAAGAAAAGTTGTATTGTATGTTTCATGAAAATCCGTATAGCAGTTTTTGCGTGAAAGAGTAACAAATATCCCAAACTTTAGTGTTTATAGTATTTTACTAATATGAAGGTGTATCTACATAGATACTGTAAATATAAATAGGCATGTTAATTAACCATATCTATTTGACGGCTTCGGTGGTCCATCAGTTTGGCACGTCTTTTACTTCCGATGGTCGCGGGTTCGATTCCTCACACGGTACAAACATTTGTATTAATGAGTATGATTGTTTGTATTGGTCTGAGTTTTTTCTATGTACCTATATTATGTATATATTTGCAAAAAAAATCTACTTGTATCAGTTGTTTACCCACAATACAAGCTCTGCTTATTGTGGGACACTGTGTTAATTGTCCAGGGTTATATATTTATTTATACATTCCTGAAAAACATATCACGACAGATCAAAATCACAAAGTTACTCTATGAGAGGGGAATCACTTGCTAATAAATCTCGTTAGAAATAGATTAAATTGCATCTTTGTTATCTGTGAATTATTTCCAGTTGACTTGCTATTACAAATTATACGGTTCAATATTTACAGTTGCAATTATGAAATGCACAACTTCTAATTGCAAGTCTCGATTGTTCTTATATCGAACCGCAAACTTATCTATTTTAATATCTTACACGTGTCACACCTAGAGTCTGCGACACAGGATACCGCTATATCATAAAATAAACAGGTTGTATGTAGGCGTTATTCAAAGTATTCTAGCCTAGCATTAAGATAGTGCTGCAAAGGCAATTTGCTCACTGAAGTGAAGTAGTTAATTAACTTATTAATATAGTACTGTGTATCTGAGATGTGCTTACATTTTATTTGTTAAAAGGTATCTAACATAAATCGGTAATAAATATGACTGTTGTATATTATGCTATCTATAATATATTTAAACAAAATAAATATCGTAAGAAAAATAAAAAAAATAAACTACATTAGGTATAGGTACATAAAAATAATTATGCGAGGTGTCTGTAGTAAAAGATACAGAAAAAATATTATTATTAGGAGAATTTTTCAATCATAATAAATTATCTAAATCAATGATTTTGGATATTGATTTTGTCTGCTTTTTTATTTATCTATGCGTTCATGTCGCTAATTTCAGAGAGTACTTAAATATAGAATATATAATTTTTGTTTTGTGTTCATTAATGTATATTCTTCTATTGTATATTGTAGGTTTCGCTTAAGATTCAATGTATGTTTATTTCATTCGGTTTTCAAATAAAAAAGCTATTAACTATTATTTTCCGAAGATAATAAAGCAACGGATAATCTCGTGGGACAGTACAGCAATCGGTATTGCTATTCTAAAAAATATATACTGCAAAGTTTGTTCCAGGCGAATCTGAATTTGTATTGGATTCATGAGCTATTCCCATGGTAGATTACAGCGTAACCATAACATAATACCTTTTTCACAACGCTGCCCATAGAAGCCGGTGCCCTCGCATTTGCATGTGAAGCCAGGGTCCTGGGTAGTTTGTATGCAAATACCTCGCAGACACGGCATTCGAAAACAGATGTTGGGATTGCGCTCTGTAACACAATCAAAATGCAAAACAAAGGTAAAAACTAAGAAGTCCCATTCGCAATTGGGTTCAGTATATATATATGTATATGTGTAATAGTATATATATATTTAATAGTATACCAAGCTTTTTCAGACATATATATCTTAAACGTTAATTAACCTGATTAATATTTAATTACTTAATATATGTGTCTATTATTATAATGACGAAGTTAATCATCTAAAACTCAAAGAAGTGGTGAAAATGTGTAACATGTAAATAAGTTTTCATAGATAGTCGTAGTCAATAACTTAAACCTTTATAATTTTAATATCTAGACGAAATTACGAAGCATTTAAATCAGAAACGCTTAATATGATATGAATGCATCAAATCAATTAATCATCAACTATATGAGATCTATATATATAAATATAAGTAATATATACTTAGCTATATAAATTTATACATTGATTGCGCTTAGATCTTATTTAGTTGATGATTAATTGATTTGATGCATTCATATCATATTAAGCGTTTCTGATTTAAATGCTTCGTAATTTCGTCTAGATATTAAAATTATGAAGGTTTATGTTACTGACTACGGAATTCTAGAATGAGTCTATTTGAAAAGTTGTAAATTAATCTAGGGACATGGAATATGTTACAAAACTAGGGCAATTACTTAGGTTTTTCAGAAATATATTTTGAAAAATAGACTGAGTTGTAGTGTTCGATTGCATTTTTGGTAAGTTTAACCCTATCAGTCTTCTAGACTATAAACTGATTCGTAGACCGTTGTAAAATCTCATGAGATTGATATTCCATTGACACATATAGTGTACTTAACTAGTATACTTTAATATTTAAACATATTAATATATATTATATAATTTTTGAATCTATATTATGTTTACAAAAGAAAAACTATTTTAGTATTTAGTTAATACTAAAACTAGTAATACTAAAATAGTTTTTATTTTGTAAATAATATATATTTATAATATCTATACATAGAAAACACCCAGATCAAATTCAAATGTATAGATCGTGCGAGAATTGCAGTTGTTATCAAAGTATGTTAGACGGTAATATATCTTGACCAATAGCTGCATCTTTATAGTGAGCTATTTTTAAAAAGAAAATAATGCCTCTAATGAACATTCCCGCCTTCACGCGTTAATATGAACGTAAACGGGTAGCCTTAAGGAAGCGAAGAATGAGAAATGAGAGGGTATTATGTAAATTTGTAACTTGTTCCACGTCGTATTTATATTTAACTTTAAGCAGGCACCAGGTCGTTTGTACGTTCATTTTATTCAGATATTATTCAGCATTAGATATTTAAAATAAACTAGAAAAACTTCATGTTCTTACTACCGCTGCGGTGCATTCGTGGACAGGCGGCAAGGGCGGAATTAGTTTACAGCGAATCTAGGGCGGCACAATTTGGAGAGCGAAAATAAATTATATTAAATACTACTGAACTCAGATATATTTAATACTTTTTAATATTGAATGCTTTAACTGTGACGTGGGATAGTAAAGTTAAAGTTAAAGCACACTTGTTTGGCTACACTGGCGTGATGTACAATGATTGTTATTTTTGTAATTAAATGTAAGTAGGTGTCAGAAATATATTAGAAAAAATTCAAGCGTCAAACTTACAACTCTGACGATATTGTTTAAAGATTTAGAATTGTAGAATTATAATTTAAAAAAAAATGAAGTAGTAATAGATATATTTTTTTAATGCCACGTTTTAAAAACCATTAATTACTTCAATTAAATACGAAAATAAAGAAATGTATATAGTGTGTTTTATTTCAATTCTATGTCTTTATTGGGGTGTCGATGCCTTTGAAAATATTTTATACTTTTGTCTGATACAAAAGTATAAAATATTTTATTATTAATTACGTACAATATAGATATACGAGTAGGTACCTAATCGTGGAACAACGTAATCTATGTATTTGTAAGAGAATGCCCCTTCTGTAACTAACTTTATTAGTTAACTACATATTTATTAGCAGAAAGAATCTAAACTACCTCTTAAAGCGCTAAGGCAATCCTTTCTTGTTATGTAAATGTACTCGTTTTTGCACCCATAACTGCAGTAGCACGACGATCCATAAAATTTGCAGCCATAATGAGTTTGATCAGGATCACATGCTTTTGCATTCCCTGTAAAGAACAAACTATAAAGTATACTCAACGAAGTTTATGCTTAAAGGAACACTAAGGTAACATTATATGTGTTACGAAAATGTTAAAATGTTTCGCTTCGCTAATTTGCTTAGACGGTAACTGGGAACTTCATTAGACATTCTAAAACATACATACTAAGTTTAATATCTGTAGATTATTCAAGTATACACAGGAACATACTTTTATATGTTTTATGTTAAGTTATTTCTAGTATGTTGTCTTAGAATATTGTTTAGAATTAACAAATAATTTCGCTAAACGCAAGAGATACCAGAAATATGCTATTTTATTAATTTGTAACATGTTTTGTATTCATAGTATGGTGTAACGAGTTTCGTTTAAAGTTTTAATTAGTAGGTTTAATTAATGAAGTTCTTCGAAGCTAGTTATCTACTGTAATTGTTCCATATCACAGATAGAACATTTATTGTACTGTAAATTACAACAATGCTCGCTTTGGGATGTTTTTATCTCAGCACGTTTCCGCTTCGAGCGATCGCGTATGGCGTGTGCCTACTTTTACGTACTTAACGCATTGGCCTGACATGAATATACAAATATGTACTCCTGCAGTCAATGAAAGAAATCCTATCAAGATTTACATTTCTATAGCTAATAGTATATTTGAGGGCGCAGAGGCAAGGGCCTATTAACAGGGTAACAGGGAATAGTAGCTGCAAAAGCTTGAGACTGCTTGTCCCTCACCCCTCTCTATACAAAACGTGCTAGTATACAAATTTTCTATAATAACTATTTAAATTCAATTAAATATTTGTAAATAGGATAAGACTATCAACATTTCACACAAGTCAGATTTTGTTTTAGAATTAGTCTTAACTGACAATTACAAATAATTCTATTTTCGGCAAAAAGTTGCGATCTATCTATTGCATCCTAATACCTTGGTATGATGCCCTGGCAGGACTACTGGCTTCGCCATAAATTTACATATTTAATTCCGCCATTATCGTTAACATAGTCGGAAGCAGCAGTCTAATTGATATTTGCAGTTATGCATTTTCTAAAATACAAACAATAGTACAGGAAAATCGATCATAATGTTGTTTATTTAACGTTATAATTTTTTTAGTTATATTTTTAACGTTACATTTTGGTGTAGATCGATCAAAATTGGATTTAAAAATACGTACATGTAGGCAGAGAACAATCTCAACATTTATTTTTGGTACAACCTACAGATTTTGTTAAGGCTTAAAAAAGGTTTTAAGTCTTTTATCTAACATTTTTATTGTTTTAAATTACAGTTACAAAGAAACCACGAGAAACACATTTAAAATATTAAATTACCTATCTACTTATGTGTCTGCATGAATCGTTAGTTTACATATTATTAATTTTTATTATTATTTTTACGACATATAAATAAAGCATAGATTTAAATATTCGTATAATACCAATATCACGATTAATTGTAATGTTGACATTGGAAAAGCGAGTTCTGCATGCAAATAAATTTTATATTCTATCTACCAATATGAAATAATATAAAAAAGTAAACTAAAAACAGAATTGCATTGCATTGCGTTATTTGTAAACTTAATTCACTCGTTGATTTATTTAGATATATTTAGAAGCCTATCATTGTTTTAGCATAGATATGTAATATTTAATAGGATAAAGTATTAAATGTTACATATTTATGTATATGATGATATTCATGCTATGATTAAATACAATATTGCCATAAATGCCTAAATAACTCCTCGCCCGTAATTACTTCTTTTTTATCTTTCACCGAACATGGAGTTTTCATGCAAAGCTGATATTATCTGATTTACTTTGATATGATATATACATATATAATGCGCTGCTGCTTCAATTATATGTATTCAATAATGCAAAGATACTAACTAAGGATTACTGTGCACGTAGAAACAATTATACTATTAACTATTAACAAGCAATATCCATAAGCTTACGTAGTAATTGTACACAACCTTAGTGGTCACCACATCAGTTACTGGGGATACAATTTAATACTTATTTAGGTTTCGGAGGTCTTTTGGTACTTTGAAAATTGTTAAATTAATGTTATCAACACATTCTAAATATATTTTGAAATCATTATAAGGGTCCATTTGAACTAAAGTATAAAACTCGTTCTATTTATAACATAGTTCAATAGTTGCAGTAGAATAAGTTACTCCTATTTTTAGATAAGTTTTGATAGTTTAAGTGGGATTGCAATCTTTACATAGTATAAAACGAAGTCGCTTCCTACGTCTGATAAAAGTCTGTTAAATGTCACTTAAATCTTTTAAATTATGCAACGGATTTTAGTGCAGTTTTTAGCAGTAAATAGTGAGATTCAAAAGGAAGGTTTACATATATGTATAATATATGTACACTCGTGCGAAGCTGTGATTGGTAGCTAGCTAATTCATTTAAAAATAACTTATTAAGCTTTTTTTGTAAATAAATATTACGGCATATTGTATGGCATAAGATACCTGCTTTTACAGTAATAGTATATGTAAATATATAAGTATGTGTATGTACAGTTTAAATAAGTGGCAAGCGCTTATGCTGCAGGCAAACTGCTGAGCAGTTTTGCGGCTTCATGATTATATTTTGTATTTCTATAAATTCGTGTGTAAATAAATAAATAAAAGTATAAATGAATAGTTATGAAATCTACAGGTATTAAAGTGTTTTTAATATCCAACTATGTACATAAATGATTTATTGAGGCATATTATTTAATAAGTCAGAGGCGACTGCATCTGTAAATGCTGCATACTATAAATATAGTATAGAGTTAGATTTAGATGCAATGCATACATACAATGTATGGTAATTGTGTATTTCCTCTAACCCTATAACCCTGTATCCTCATCCTTTTCTCTATTTTGAATACTGTATCCTTCAGAAAAATTGTATACCAACGACTGCTTTATTATTATTTCGCATCCTCGCAATATTCATCAACGTTATTTTTATTTCATTACTTTAAACTATGTAATAGGTATCGTAATATCACGTATGTACCAGTAAATGTGAATTTCATTAAAGCCAGCGCTTTTCTCATTTTTATGACGACAGTATTTTCAAACCTACTAAAGACCATTCAGGTCAAGTATTTTTATTTAAACTTGCTTGCTTCTAGAACGTCGTCTACGAGCATTTGAAATGCGAGAAGAATTCTAGCGTTGGATATAATTTATGACTACGTAATGGTTTTTTCTATCTAATTTTAAACTATTTCCTATTATGCGGTTGTTATGATAAATGTTATCATATCATTCATTGCCAATTATTTTACTTCGCAAAAAATCACAACGAAAGTGCAGAATAATTATTTTTTTGGGAATATATATATATACATATGTAAATAATATACATAGATATATAGTGTTAAAATAATTAATATTATTAAGTGCATTTTTTTGTTTTCCTAATATTGGTAAGCATATGACTGGTTTTAAATTGTCATGTTATTAAAAGCAACTAATTGATTCGCTTGAATAGCTCGACAATGCCACTGCGCAGCTATAATAGTGTGAGCTCCGATTCTAATCTAATATATAAATTAGAATTAAATTTTAAATAATGGCAGAAATTCGCACAAAAAATAAATAGTGAATGTATGCATGTATGGTATTGTTATTAATATTAAATTTAAAGTGGATATGAAAAATGATAATAAAGGTTTTTTAAAAAGGGATTAAAAATTTCAATAATTTTCTTAAGCTCACAAATTTAGCGACTTTAGATTAATTGTATAACATTAATCAAAATGTGACTGCTAATGAAGTATACTTACAATGTAGGCAGACCAGTACGGCGAGTATGAGTAAAGCACGCATGTTCGTGGTTGTATACAAAGCGCAACTGATACAACATTTCCTCTGGATCGGGTGTGAACGGCCGTCATATCAGACTATCTATCTCAGGCCACGAGTATACTATGGTCCCGAGTTCTGTGTGCGTAGTTTATGAGGCCCTAATAACTTTTTGTTCAGAGAATACAAGTGTTTTATTAATTGTACTGCATGCCTTTGACTTGTGAAAAATCTTATTTTATTACTCCTGTTCCCCGTTGATTCTTGGAATTTAATTCTTCAAGAAATTAAATTCCAAGGAGAAATGTCGGAGGGAATGCAATTTCTTTGTTTCTTCATTCAAAATATACTTGATCTGATTACCGCTAACATATTTACAATACAATTTAGATTTCCCGTATTACATTTAAATAACACTGAACAATATTCTGAGAAGCCATAAGCTTTTGAGGATTGTAATAAGAGAGAGAAAGCAATAAAATAAACTTCTCAAGCAATATTAGAAAACTTCATGGTGTTTTCTTACATATTGATAGGTACATATCAGGTTAATATAAAAATAAATAAGAGTTTGATAATTTATCAAATGTTGTCGCTTACAAGTATTGCTCAAAATAAGAAAACGACGTTTTGGACCTTTGGAAATTTGTTACTGTCTATAATGATTAAAGAAAACAACAACCTTTTGTAAACCACGATTTTATTTCTACTATTTAAAGATACTAGAAATACTAGCAAACCGGATAACCCCTGTGTGAATGATAACCCTCTCGTAGGATGGGAGTAACTGGAATAATGAAGGTGGGTCTAGTTAGTATAATTTTGTAATATGCACTCTTCCGTTCGATATTAATTATTTATTGTATTCTGTAGAATGGTACGTATTTTCACTTATTTTTAGAGTACAGTTATGGATATTTTTATATTGTGCTTGTTTTTACCATTATTACATCATATGTATTAGTTGGACTAGAAAGATATCTTTTAGAGACAAGTCCTCCTTTACTTATAATGTTCATCACCATCATTTCAGCCCGGAAGACATCTACTGCTAAACAAAGGCATCACCAAATATCTCCACGACGATCGGCCTGCACTGTTCGCAATCAACGCTTTCCAGCGATCTTGACTAGATTGTCGGTTCACTTTGTCGAAGGCCATCCCACGCTGCGTCTTCTGGTCCGTGGTCGCCACTAAAAGACTTTACAGCCCCAATGGCCTTCTATTCTACGAACTATGTGTCTTTGTCACTTCAGTTTCAAAATTATCTGGGCTACATGTGTCTGGTTCTTTTACGGATCTCCTCATTTCTGATACGATCACTCAAGTCCAAGCATAGCCCTCTAAGTGACATTGAGATTATTTATGAGGCCCATAGTTAGAGACCACGCCTTTGTACCGTAAGTCCTCTCTGGCAACACACATTATTACGAGTATAATGTTACTAATACAAGCTTATAATGTTACTAAGACTTATTTATATTTAGTTTCCATGTAAAAGATGTGTCTCATGTCGTCAATGATATTTTTAGACATAATATGATAATATCTAAGGATAGCACAACACCATTTAGTCCTAAGCTAAGCAATGCTTGTGTTATGGATACTAAACTGATACTAACAATAATACTGAGATAAACAAGAAGACAAATGTCTGTACCGATAAATAGTTACATATTTCTAGATTGAGTATCTACCAGGACCCAATCTCGAAGTATGTAACTATTACTAAGTATGTTAGGATCAAAGTTAACTAAGATTTTGCAGATATTCTTATCCCTGATGGCTTATCCCTGATGGCAATTACGATGGCTCCTATAGTTGCAACAACGTATAGAGGAAATGAATCGAAAACTCATAGAATATGTCGTTAAATAATGGTGAACATATAGGCTAAAGATAATTGAAATAGTTACATCAAACAATATACCTCAAAATACCTTTTTATGATAATTATGAATTTGCTAAATACAATATTATTAATTAGCACATTAAACAAATAATACAAAGCTTTATAAATATCTTATCGTTTGATTTTATTATCAATAGACTACGAAAAACTGCATAAACTGTGCACTTTCATGAGTATTTAAAAAAACAATAACTTATGTGCATGTATGTTGTATATTTATTATCACCGCATTATTGATTACGCGGGAAAGAAAATAAAAATATTATCCAAATGTTTGAGTTCATTGTCCCGGCCATTGGACTCTGTGTGCACACAATGTAACGCATCTGATTATTCTGAAAACCAAAACATTAATAATCTCTTTGTAACAGATACACTGAGTACAACTCGGTTCGATAATTAAGTAATTATGTAGTTCATTTTACACGGTCTCGTATTATATAGAAGCGACATTATTAGAGAGCAAGTATATTATTTATGAATGATTATGTAATCCTGCTTCCGTTAATAGATTGGAATATTCGAGAATGTGTTACTTATATTTGTTATTAATATTACTACTTACTATTCAAGTATGACATAATTGGGTCTAGTGGTTCAATAGAAATGTATTGTCGAACTTCGAGTTCGAGACCATGTAGAGGTCGACCTCTACATGGTCTCTTCTACAACCCTTCGTGGTTAAAGACTAGTGATACATTACATACATATGTACCTACTAACTGATCTGACATCATGCTCATCCTATGGACGATCCATTGATGTCCCACCATACCGTTAGCTCAGACGAGCGCATCATTTCATTCTCGTACGTAAAAAACACCAATTATGCTTCAAGCTATATTAACTAAAAATGTAAGTACTAGCGTTGCAGTGTATATTATGAATTATTTTCTCTCTTACTTCCCACCTTAGTATCATTAGTAGTAATAGAACTCATGCGTTGCCATTCCAAAGGACTAATGTATAATACCTATTGTATTGTCCTGTAATTTTACTGCCTAACCGCACCCTATTACCAAGACACAGCATACAAACCCTGCTGCTTAACAGATAAAGTAGGTGAGCCATAGACGATTTTTTGTCTACCTGTGGTAAAGAGGATATTTAAAAATTTTGGACAATATATGGGCATTGTAACGACAAGCCTCACCGAAAAGAGCGTGGTTCTTAAATTATGAATGAATATATTATTAGAATGTCGTGATGTATTTACTTTCCTATTCTTATTTATAGACTACCATTTATAGAAAATAGTGAGTTCACATCTGGCAAACATCTAAAACCTGCAATGTAATCGATGTACTTCGGTAAGAAAACTAATTAATCCGGGAGTCCGCGTCTCTGTCACGTTCAGTTCAATATAAACAGCAAATTGTGGGCACAGCACGTAGCGTGTACCAAGACGCCTGCATTTGGTAATACCTCGGACCACTCCATCTGCTCGTAGCATGGACTATGACGCTTAAAGGGAGGCTACATAATAATATATACCTTGATGAAGCACCCATACCTCTTTAAAAAAACTATCGTTACAAAATTCAACTTAAAAGTAAAATCTAAATTATTTTAAAAAGCAACACACAAGTTTTTCTCGTTCTTCTTGTGATGAGACAGATTTCCGAATGAGCGGTAGGTAAAAAAAATAAGTGACGACTATTCTATGTAAAGATATACCATATATATATATATATAGAATTACGATTTTTAATACGATTTGTAACCTTATATAATATTTATATTACACTTTATATAATACTTTTATAATGAATCGTCCACCCCATCGCGTTCTTGTCTTCCATTCTGACCATAAACAAGTCTTCTTATTATAATCTATAATTGTATCTATATATAGTAGCATATGCCATTCATTTATTAAGTAATCTTATTTGGACAAAGTAAACGCTGACCGTGTCAATGTGATAAATATGTTGAGATCACTTTTTAGCGTAAACATGATAAAATATAGCAAACAAATATTATGATAATAAATAGTATATTGGCTGCTACCGTACATTTGTTTATTATTGTTTTTTCCCTAGTTTCTTGCGTATACAAGTATTTTTTTAAATAAACATATGATGAAATTAATATCAAGTACGATTAATAATAATTGGACCAAATTATGATTAATTCATAATTAGTGAATCTGTGAATCTGTATTTTAAATAAATTATAACTTTTTTTCATCATATTCGAGGTATACTCTAAGATGTGTACACAATCTTTCGTAAAATCTACTCTGAAAGGTGAATATGACCTAAGATGTTCGAGTATTTGTTTTCTTTAAAATTGTTATCTTTTATTTGAATGAAATAAAATAGTTATCAACTATTTCATTCAATCATACCTGTAAAAATTGTATTTCTAGAAAATCCCTACTCTCTAAATGCTATTCATTAGCTTTCAAAATAATTAAGTTTGTATTAACTATTGAAACCCATAAAATGTCAAAGCTACGCGTAATTATAATATCTTTAATACACTTTAAGTAGATTTTAAACCTACGCCTGCGATCCTCGATGTAGGTCAATTATGCTTCATTGCATTTTTTATTGAAAAAATAAATCAATAGTTACAAAATTAACTAAACAAAACAAATATATAGATATATATATATATATATATTCTTATGGATAATAATAGGATGGTGCACCATCCACCATCGCCCTATCATCACCTCCACCAGTATACGCTAGCGGTGCACCAGTGGATGATGAGACGAGCGTGAGGTAAGACCAGTTAGTCCATCCTGGTAAATTCTGTTAGACCTTCAATGAGGATTACAGTTTTGTATACTCGTTTATCCATATTACAAATATGACTTCTGTCACCAGGCTCTGCTGGAAACGTCTACATAGCATCTCTATTATTTTCATTAATTATTACTAAATCTGCAACTAAGACATATTTAAACATACAAAGTATATATCAGTGCAAGATAAATCAGTTGAATGCATCTATTCAGCTTAGAGTCACTTTACCTAGGGGGGGTGGGAGACTAGTCGGTAGTGAGGATCAAAGGGGTGCTAAGCTTATCAAATATTGATTTCTCTTTTTATGTATATAATATATATTCCAGGTACATACACTAGGGATTATCAATCGTGTATCCACACTCATATTAAAAACTCGAAATGTGTTTGTTTAATTGTCTTCTTTTCGCTCTAAAAGTTCAGTTTTCACTCAAAAGAGTGTGTATGTTTGGATATAGGCTACTGAAAATCATATTAAGTCGCGGGTAATCTAGCTTTCTATAAATGCCTATCAATTAATTTAGATACGTACAGACGCTTATCTTATTACATTTTTTAATATTTACTTGTAAATAGTATGTAGTAAATATTGTTCTGAAACTAAAACATATTTAAGTATTTTTAAAGAATGAATAAGTATAATAATGTTGCATAAACAAAACATTATTTCTTGTTGAAGTCAAACGATCCCGTCAAAGTCCAAAGGTATGTATAGTATGTAAGAATATGTCTGTACGGCAGGCTTTTCTTTCCGCTTGGACGCCTTGCATTATCCCTCCAGCGATAGAGGTGTATTTATGTTTATTATATATATGATATTACTGGTATGCCCATATATACAAGTTACTAAAACCATTTTATGATAGAGTTCCTCCAGTTTCATGAATTCGAATCTAGGCAGACCTTGATAATAATAATTATAACCCAGGACAATTCACACAGCACCATCCTGTTCCAAGCTAAGGAGAGCTTGTGTTATGGGTACATATATAATTACTGTTTTTAAATTTTAATCGGCGATGACTCATCACATCTACTTTGTTGTCTTGCCTACAAAGCAGATGTGACGAGTCCTGCTTGATTTGTAGGCAAGAACTCAGTACCACTTGTACTTTGTACGGTACAATTCTCCTTTTCTCTTCTAATCATTCAAGCCTTCTCACACAGGGTAGAATTCCTAGGTAGAAAATTCAGAGAAAAGAGCAGTGCAGCCATAGGATAGGGATAGTTATAAAATTAAAATGTAATTACTTAGACATTTTTTGTAAATACATACACAATATACATAAAAAAATTTATTCCATTATCTGTCAGTACTGTTTAATATGTGAAATTATAAAAAACTTGTTGTGGAGAAAAATAAGTTCATATCTAACATTGTTAATTAGGAGTTAGTACTATAAAGTTGGTGTAATGAAAATTAAGTGTTTTTGCAGAAATATGAACCGCTCTGGAGGTAAAGTATGCACAAACTAGGCCAATTTTTATTACAGACTACTATATTTTTAGTATGTAAAATATACAGACTCTACTCAGAAAATGATGTATCCACTTTGTAATAAATTAATAAAAAACTGTAATATTAAAAAATGTAATAAATAGCTGCGGTCTTGATACCACAGCATAGGTTGTCGTCCGGGGTTGAAGATGTTTCAAGATACATACTCTTAACAGTAGAATATAAATATAGTTTACTTCATAAATGTTTCATTAATTAAAAAACTACATAATGAGGTTTGTTTAGATTGATGTTTGTTAGATGACTGCATTCGATGAATTTGCTTCGAATTTTGTTATTGTTGTTTTGCCACATAAATTAAAATCGCTGTTTAAAAATAGGGGTTGGTTGGAAGGGTGTAATTTTTTTAATGCCACATTATTCAGGTATGGTATCAGAGTATGGTAACTAACATTGTGATATGAGAATTTTATACATAAGATGTTACACCACTTGTAGCAAACAATCTGTTAGTCCATGCTATATAAACATACAGTATGGTAAACACCATAAAATAGGCCACAGGATCGATATTGTGAAGATCGTAGTACTGTTGTACATGGTCAGTTCTGTTATTCATATAACGCTAAAATAAAACCAAACGCTTCTAATTCATATATTTTATTTTATATTTAAGAAGTTATCACAATAACATCGCACTAGCGATTTATCACATGATAAAAATAATAAGCAACATAGTATCTTAAAATCAAAATAATAGCATACATTTTATAGCTTCTTCATACTTATATTTTTTTTAACAATTATTTTGTTTCATTAGTATTAACTACAAATAACGAGAAATAATATAGTTGCGGTTCCATGGCACTTGAACTTGTAGACACCTAATTAGTTTTATAATTATTATTCATTATGATTATTAATTTATTGTATTTTTTATCTACCTAACTATAAGTTGACGGTCCTACGTATGGTAAATTGTACCAGTGGTTACCCATATATATACAAGAATACATCATGGATATACGTCATTATGTGTGAATTCTCGTTCCGGAGGACTAGGGTGTTATGGCGTCGTAATCTTTAATTTCACGACACATCTCTCCCTTCTACCGGAATAGCTTACAAGCTGCTTGACAGCTGAAATAGATGTAACAGAAGTGCCCGAGACTTCAAAGTACAAAAGTATAGCCATTAATGAACGAATTATTAATAATATAAAATTCTAAGGATAATTTCATATTTGGATTTCAATACCAGAAGGCAAGAAAAATCTTTGGTGTTAAATGTACATTGGCAAAGGATATGTTATTACTGTATATTTCAATTATAGATAATATTCTACTCCTGTAATCTAATAATATAGCAATAGCTAAAGTTAATAATTGCTATTGAAGTATGGCGTCTCTAATTGCTTTTTAACAGATATTAAAGCTGTATAAGATATCTTTATAGTTTCTTTGCTGGTTGAACACGCTGTAAAGACGAACATTTGGATAAAAAGTTTTAAAAACTTTAATTTTAAGAACTCTTACTTAATATAAACTGACTTTGAATAAATATTGAATGGAGAAAATCACTTATATTTTCTTAGGATATTGTAAACGGTATATTTATATCTATATAAACAGACACGTATATATATGTATATTTATATACCTTTATATGTAAGCCCAGGATGAACTATCACAAGTCAGGCTATATCTATTTAATCGCCCATAATCAGTCATGTTCATTTTTATTAGGCGACAATTGAGATGCAAGCAGCGTATATAATCATAAAAAGAAAAACTTGTTTGATACATATTCATGAAACTCTTACATTAAAAGTAATAAATAGCATTTTTTTGATCGCTTGTCACATGTTTCTGAATAAACATAGACACAACAATCGTGTTCATTATAAACATAAGTGACGGGCCATTATGGCGAATGATGGGTGTAGAGGTGCCTTTGTCTAGACTGTTTTTTAACGTAGGTATAGAATATAGTAGTATGTCAAAGCTCAATTCATCAAAATAATATAAGCAAAGGAATGACGAAAATCAAGCAATCAAATCTTATTCAGACTAATAAGATATTTTTATAAGAATTCAATTGATAAAAAGTAATTACATATGATATATAAAAATGTACGAGACGGGTCTATTTACTTATATTTTCAGATAGATATAATAGTCTGGAGAAAGTTATATAATCAATCTAGAAATGTCTATGAATAGTCATAAAAGAACCTTGATTAACCTGATCACTTTCGTAATTTGCCATACTAACAATCTGTATTTTGTTATTTGCAATATCATTTTTATAATTTCGTTTGAACAATAATCCTTCGCTGAAACTGTTTTTGTGGCTCTGTACTAATGAACATTGTCATTAATGCAGTATTGTACGCAAATGAATTTGGCATTGAGCTGAGCTTTGCCTACAATCTATATTATTCTATCTGTGGCGTTGTATAAACGTTGACGAACGGCGCTTTTGGCCCTTCCTGCAGCCAATTATCAGGAGAGTACTGATTATTCTGTTTCTCGATGACGTGGAAAGTATACGCGTGTCGGCTTTTATCAGATTTATTGTGAGCACTCTTGTGAACAACATGTCCGTGAATCAGTATACATGTTCCTGAAAAAAAAACATTGAAGGATTAATGACGTAGCGAGAGGGAGTGTGGGGTGGTTGAGGGCGCATTTGTCACTGTAAATCGATGGACGTATCAGCGACAGTTACTAACAGAATTTAAACTACATTTTATGATAAAAGAATGAACTGATATGTAACAGAACAAAGAGTGCTTTTCGCGATAAGGCTGCCTTTTCGAAACTTTCGCAGAAAGGAATAATTTATAATAATGTGCATTTGTAGGTTTACTTTTTAACAGTTAGCAAAAGTTCTTTAGTTTGTATTTCTTACGCATTATATATATAGAATACATATGTATAATTAGAAATAAGAAAATTAGAAACAAAAAATTCTCATACATGTTATCGTTATATTGTTTGCGCAGTTATTGTACAATGAATGGTCTTGGTAGGCATATTAGGTTTCTGAGTTTTGTATGAAAAGGGCGAAATAGAGGACAGCCTTATTGCTGTCAGTCTACTGTCTGCTGTCCCGAGTTCCTATTAGCGTATGGAATTATTTACAGACTTTATTTTTGGATATGATTTTGGATTCTTACGCAAAAAATAAACCTGTTTTTTCCTTATTTCTGTATAACTCCGGGATATATTATACAGTCCTATTTAGCTCAAAGTTACGTAGAATTCGTATATTTACACTTTGTTTTATAAATACATGCCAATGAGAGCAACATCGCTATTTCATGAATGTAAAATTAATTCAAAGTTTTAACTCGCAACTTTGAAATGTGGTAGTGTATAAATATAGTATAAATATATAAACCCACTATACTATTAGGGTAATTACAAACGCGCTGCCTGCATATGTTAATTTTATTTTATATAAAAGTAAGATCTCCTAATACAGTCATAATTGCAGTTAAAAAAATGTTGCTAAAATATTTTACAAAAAAAAGTTAAACAAAAATCTTGTCTAAATAAACGTAACTAAATTTTTATGCCTATTTTATACCAATTAATTAGTATTTAATATGATTTTAAAATAACAATGCTACAATTATGCATATCAAATTGTGAGTATACAAGGCTGTGTTGCCATACGTTTATAAGGCGCCGGCAATTAATAATAAAAAGAAACTTTTTTAATTTTTATTGTATTTGTTAATTACCTTTACTGACTGGAACCGGCGTGAAACTAGACTCGGGATATACCGGTTCGGGCCTATCGTATATAAGCGCTCCTTTGTCATCATTATTTGGGTTGCGGGTGAGTCTACGATGAACGCCCGACTTGTGGCTACCTCTCGCCATCCAGAGGCATCCATTTTGAATTGTAGCATCCTCTAGAGCTATCCAGAAGCCAATTGCTGGTATAGGTTCTGTATGCAGGTAGGTCGCGTCTTGATGTGGTATAACTGTAATTATATTTATATATATAATACAATTTCCAGACTGTATTAGACGACGGGCTAAATAAGAGAGACGTTACCAGCGTAGATGACCGTGAACGCTACTCTTGTCATAACATATATTAACAATGTTATTAACGATATTTTATTGACGATGTGATAGAATCACAAGGGAAAGCGAGTCAGAAATATATACTACACACAATATATGCTACACACAATATTTTCGGCGGTGTCCAGATCCAAATTCATGACCTTTAAAATTAATAAATCACGGAACAAACGAAAATAAAACTTCTTATTTCATCTCATGCTAATTTACAGATACGAAGTTGGTATCTCAAGTACCTATGTCAGCTAAGACAGTCGAATTAGTAAAAATATTGTAGTTAATTTGCATTTGACAGAATATTAAATTATCGAAAATAAGGCGAAACTACCAAATAACTTCGTTTTTACAAAATGGTTCCATTTTTAAATATAAATATACAATACAGATATATAAATATCAAGCAAGTGCATATTATAGTCCAGAAACAATAGATATTGACAATGAAACGGGAAAAATTCGACATCCAACATCAAACAGAGAATATTTTTCAATGGTATTTGTCATTTTTCAATGGTAGATATTTGTAAAGCTTATTGGAAATATTTTGTGCACAATATTTGTTTTATTATATTGGATGTTATTTATTTGACTTAAAAATGTTTTGCGATGTGTAGAACTCGGTACACTATCAGACAGGAATTTATAATCATGTCGTTAGAGCGTTATCGTTATTCAGTTAAGAAATAACAAGTTATTCCACTTTATTCCCACATATGTTCTTTATTTATATTAAAATTATATAAATAGTAAAGTCAGACTTTGGTACAGATATAGATGGAAACAATTTTTTCTCATAATAACTTACTAAAGTGAGAAAACAAAAAAAATTACAAACCGTATGAAACTTTTTATTCCGTCGTCCGATTTCCTTCAGTGTATAGAATATTGTTTATAAACAGAATCAATAGTAATACAAGCGTGTCCGCGGGTATAAGATTTATACATAATAAAACTATTAAACTGTAAAATTAATTATATATGATTTATTATTAATTTTACAGTAGCTTTCAGAGCTGATCCTTTCGCGATTGTGGCTTAATCGGCTTACGCAAATGTAATGCACTAATGATAATGGTTGCAGATTATTATTAATTACTGAGATACATATTACTCTATTTGCATTTGTTATTTATTAAATTAATATTACAATCTAGATTATCTAAATATATTTTTATAGTAATGTAAACAGAAAAAGTATAATGAAGAACGTGTTCTTACCATCTTTCTCTTATCTACGAAGTCATGAGCTAATTTAAGTATAATCCCTTTGTTATCGTTTATGAGAGCTTAATTATATAAAAATATGAGAACACAGTAAATAGTTTTTATTTATTTACATTTTGATGCTCTAATAGAAAGTATTGTCTGTTTATTACTCATTACTTTAGCGCCTATATTTTGACGTGCAAAATGTATTTATACAGGTAGAATTAACTATGCAAGTTATGTTATTAACTTGTTGTATTTTATTATTTACTTATTCCTAAATTACACTTAGACTAAGATTAAAAAAATATTTGCGTATCTATGTGAAGTAAAATATGTTTATCTATGAACAAGTTACCTTCTCCTCCCAACCGTGGGTTTTTGTAAATATACATGCTTTGTACGACGGCTGGCTCTTTCAATCCTAATTGACGGCATACCATTTTGACTCTGTCGCTGTATGTGTAACACCTAAAGATTTGGTGTTGAAGATGCAGTGCATGTCCGACCTGAAATAGTAATTTTTTAAAGTTTGATAAAGATTAATATAACATTTTAAATATTTGTTTGGACGATAAAATATTTTGACGTCATTCTAAATGCATATGGCAATGGCAGATAGTCATTATTATGCAATTCTATAATACGTATATCTAATGAAATTATTTGTTGAGAACCATTAAAAAAATAGAATCACATTACTCAAAAGCCAATATGGCGGACTTAAATTTTTTTTGTTTTATTTATCGTTTTATTACTGATAAATTATTTTTATCACTGAGAATGTCAGCATAGCATCAAACTGAAATGCATGAAGGTAAACAAGAAATAAGTTTGAACTAACTAAGTCGCTAATATAAAAGTGCAAAATGCTGGAAAATTGTGACTTGGAATATGCCAGTAATTGACGTCGTCGCAAAGTCGTTTATACTTTATCTTGCCTTCTTTGCAATTTTCTAACTTATTAAAATCGCCAGTAGCTGTAAGCAATAATAAATATACTAATATATCTATTATTGTCTGTTTCTAAGCTGCTTGCTTTACATCTATTCCGGTATCTGGTGAGAGAATAGCAGAGAAATTATTATTTTCAATAATCACAATGTTTTGTGAAGTTTATGGTTCAGTTGGGGTTTACACATAGGTTTATGGGGTAACCTATGTGCACTGAACCGCCTTTTTGTCCATAATATATCAGTACCGTAGCTCTCATAATTTACTTATTATATTTAGTACTAGAGCTGTACCTGCGACCTCAGCCGCGTTGGAATTTAACTTTATTTTTCTAAACTAAAAGTAGCCTATGTTACTTCTTATTACCTACATCACTACATACATACTAAAAAAAGTTTCGTCAAAATCGGTCGAGCTTTCAGAGATTAACCGGAACAAACAGACAGACAGACAAAAAGTGTAAAAAATGTTATTTTGGTATATATACCGTATTTATATTCATATGCATGCAGTAAAAAACGGTTATATCAATATTACAAACAGATACTCCAATTTTATTTATATGTATAGATGTAGTACAGTATTATAGGTACAAACTACTAGATAGGTACAAACCACAATTAATTTTGCAACTATTCAGCACAGGATATTAATATAAATGGAAATGTAATTTCGACGATACATCAATAATTTTGGGACTGCTCTAGTTAATATCCATGTATGCAATATTAATACGTACTCGGGTTAAAAAGTGAGTTTTGTGGTGGTCATCAGAAACGGGGAAAAGTGGCCCCAATGGTAGCAAAGTACCATTATAGGTAGACCTCTAATGGGATTTCTGGGAACTATAGTGGTTCAATCTATGATGTGCTAATTGACCTAATTTCATGCTCATTCTATCATCTTTTACTAGTACCCCGTCAGCTTATACCAAAAGCGCAGATGGTTGCATCAATTCATTATCACCCACAAAAAGTGAGTTTTAGCTACATCACAATAAAACAATTTTAATACAATAGAAGCATATCAAGAACGCGATTCATCTGTATGAATTAATGACATAAAGTGTTTTTAATTTCCCATATGAATAAAAGCCACCACAGACTATCATAGCTATATGTAGATTATGTATCTAATTAATAGATATATATATCTGTACATGACGTTATGGATCGCAAAATGAAAGTATTTGTATCTACTTGTTTTATGCGATATTAATTTAAAAGAATTTGAGATAATCTTGCGAACAACGTACACATAATATAAATTACAAGTTCATCTACTGTGAACTGGTTGACCTAAGAACGAGATGTCCTCAAGAACTATTCTCAAGTTTTCCTCTATTCGTAGATTATATTTATATATAGTATATTGGAAGTAAGATGCAAGTATTTCTTAATAGTCTGTTTGAATGGAAATGTTAGAGCTTACCTTATTTAATGCAATGCTAGGGTCCACTGTCAGTTTTCCCTCAGAATCTAAGGCGTCTACCTCGAAGAAATAACTGATATTGTCGTTACTCTCCAGAAAGTATTTGTCTCGTAATTGCTGTAAATAAAACCATATTTATATACTATATATTAACTCATTATTTCACACAGAGAACGTACACGAAAATGATATAAAAGAAAATTTAGGAAGTAAATACAACAAAAAGCGTCTCTACATAAGCATCTCTAAAATTACATTTTAAAATTGTATATATATATATATACCTCTATTGAGGTGAAGATATGGTTCTTTAATTATTAATAAATCTTAAAAATAAAACGTACATTTAAAGTATACTTTTCTATAGTAAAAGACTAATTACAATGATGCAATTAACCATCTTCTGTATAAATATGCCTACCGACCATAAGTTTAGTTTAGTTTTTGAACTGTTATGATTTTATTTAACTAATGACAAAATAATAATTAACAAATCGTATTGAATGCCAAAAAAACCGTATGAAATTTTTGAAATTCAGCACAATATAGATGGTGTTTTTAATAGAAAAACGTAAATATACGCCGAGTTTAGTTTTTTAAAATTGACATAAAAGAAACAGTGTACGGAATTAAACTAGCTAAATATTAATTTCAAAATACAAACAATTGCTTATGCTTACATACTTCTAAAAAGAGGTACATGTTATAAACTGACTGTATTTTTAATATATATGTTGCGCTATCTCCTCTTTACCATAACTGAGCAGATTTACGCCCTCTTGTATTGCAGATAAAATTTGTAACGATCGACCAATTTATCTCACGCCGCTAACTGAATATTAATATTTTGTTTTTACATTTAAAAATATGGCATGCCTGTTTTATAAAAGCTGACGTGACCTTATTACACTTAAGGCAAGAGCGAAAGCTCGGTCTTATTGTACGGTAATTAAATACCGGAGAATAAATGTGGACGCATAGCATGGAGCCTTCGTCAGTTATTGCAGTGCATATTTCATACAGGAACACAACTATGTATATATTGCTGAATATGAGAGATGTAGACGGACTAGTTTGTTAATGAACTGCGTGAATATCTATTGATTTACAGACTAGCTCACCCGGCGAACATCTTACCACATAACAATTATAGATACTTAATTTTTTAAGTTTTTTTAATAATTATTCTGCTAATCAGGACCTTTACTTACCTCCATACTTCAAGGATTATTCTAAAAAAAGAATTAGCCAAATCGCTTCAGCTTCCTAGAACCTCTTCACTAACACTAGAACTTTATAAAATGGTATTAAAGTTCAAATTGACTTTTATGTAAATATTATATAATCGTTTGTATGGGAGTATAGATAAGTGTTGTTTTTAGACTTTATCCTCCATCCTTGTGCTTCAAAGAATATTAAAAAAAATAGCATAATATATATTCAGCTCGAGATTTACACTTCCTAAGCGCAAATCTCGAACTGAATCCATTCAGCGTTTCATTTTTATATTAGGCATAGATATCGAAAAAAAAAATCATCGGCTTTGCGCAGTCTTATCTTTTCCAACACCTAGTATGTTAGATAGTAATCTCCCAAATAGTATACAACTATAGGAGCCTATACCTAAATATTAATTACATACTGACCATGGCATGCTTTAAAATTAATCCTAATTTACGCATGTACCATGAATAATTGTATAGGTTACTAGTAATTATACCTGTTTACCCGTCTCTTTTGTAGAGAACAGTGATTTTTGTCCTTCATCGGGGAGGTTTTGAGTGAGCTCCTCTCCTGCGGCTTTTAGTTCATCACATTCTGCTGGCCTGAGAAAATCTTCCAGTACCAGGTAACCATCCTCATCCAACTGCAATAAATTAACAATCTTTATAAGTAAAAAATATGATATAGTATATTGAGGTGAGGTGGCCATATTAAATCGCATCTAGAAAACAATGTGGTTAATTAGTAGTCATATAAATAACGTATCTACTGCTATTATAAAATATTAAACCAAAACGATAAGATAACAATATGGACAAATCGTACATCTTACGCTCACGCCATCTTATGACCAAAAGTAGAGTTAAAATGTAATAATCATTATATTCATCATCATCATCGCAGCCCGGAAGACGTCCACTCATTATATTATCTCAGAATAATTCACACACCGGTATCTATTACAGTTGCAAACTACGCATAGCTTGTGTTATATACTATATACTCATATGCATACAATACAATACATATACACAACTTGACGCATATTTTTCTCTATCATATGTGATCTAATATTCAAACCTCGTATGTATATATAAAAATATTTTACAAACATATAAGAGATTACTCTTTTAATAATTCGAAGTAAAAGAATCACAAGTAATGAAGACTAATTACGTTTAAAAATATTTCTTTTCGTGAATGAATGGAGCTGAAGTTTTTAGCGGCATCAAGTAAGTGACGTTGTCACGACAATAAAGCAGAGGAAAGCTTTTTAGCTTAAATGGGTTTTGCAACCACTTTATACACGGTTTAAGTTGGTGACGCGATTTGCGAAGGGCATGAAGCTAATAGCATAGTCTTCGAGTTATGGAGTTCATAGAACTATGTATACCTAGGTGGTCTAACCGCTCAGTAAACCGCTTTCCTTCCAAGGATCGCGGGCTCGATTCGTCGTTAAATTTCAAACATTTGGATTAATCAATATAATTGGATTGATTGATTGGATTACAATGATTGTTTTTTGTAATTGTTTGTATTGAATTAAGATAATCAATATGATTGTTCGTAATGTTATAATATTTTCAATGTATAGATAATGTGTATGTACAAAAAAATGTATTCAAGTGTGTATTCACTCATCAATATGAAACAAACACTGCTGTGAATTATCCTCGATAAAAAAGAAATTTACGACATATAATTTGTAGATATTAATATTTTATATAATTATTTATATTACTTATATTAATATTTTTTACTTAGAGGCATTACTGCTCCAAGGATATGTCGGCCCCATGGTATCCTAACTTATAGTTTACCATATATACCTATTCTATACCATTATGTAAATACATATGTTAGATGGAATCAGTGAGACACATCCATTATTCGCCATATTGGAATGTGAGCCTGCTAGTATAATAAAAACTAATTAGTTCTCAACGAGGTAGAGTATAGAATGTCGCCTGCATAGATACTTCTATCTCTTTTATCATCTCGCCGCTATGCCGCTTTCCAGTAGTGTTAAGATTGAGGGCTGAGTAAGTTAGTGAAATATGCAAGTATTAAAGAATAGAGAGATATTTATTTAGATAATTTCAATGTACACAGTACGATACGTAATACCACATTTGGCGGGCTTTACATCATGTGGTACTTTCTACCTAGCATTATTTTCTGTACAGCCAATGGGTGCATAAGTAGAGTAAAAAATAAAATTTGGTTGTGCAAATAAAATGGCAAAAAATGACATTGGATATGACCCCTTGTCCAACGTAATGGCAACACTTCAGTAGTAGCAAGGGAATCACATGTGTACATGGTATATATTTACTATTACTTAGTTTATTTCTATTCCAAATACATGATTTAGGAATTATACAATTTAAATCAATCAATTTACTAATATATTTTTTAATGTTACGACTTTAACATTAAAAAATATATTAGTAAATATTTGTGTTATGTAGCAAACAAACTGAGCAACTATCCATACTATCCTCAAGAGCCAATATGTTACAATACCAATCACCAAAAATGTCCGATGAAATAATTTTTTGCATGCTTTTATTTATTACATGTAACGCAATGTTATAAAAATTGTACAATTATTTCGTTTATTTGTTCATTATTGAAACGTATTTTACATTTCATATTATATTTCAGTAATCCGTTCTACGGAATTATATTACATTTAAAAATAATTTATGCTTAATGTGAAATAAATTCTTAAATTCTATGTATTTACATTTTGTATTTAAATATTTTAATAATGAAAATCACATTCTTTATTCAAATATTGAGTGCCTCGGTGGTTTAGCACTTTAGGACATCACCTTACTTACAATCGCATGGTACAAATATTGAAACTCATGATTGTTTGTATCGTTCTGGCTGTTTTCATTGTGTTGTATAATATATATGTATTTGCAAAAAAATATATCTATTTATTTACGTAAGATGTCTAGTCCTCAAAATACAAGCTCTGTTTAGCTTGGGACTAGATAGCGTTGGGTGAATTTTCCTGAGATTATTATTATACTAGAGGGTGCGTGTGTGCGCGGGCCTCATGAGGCCCGCGACGCGTTGATGATTCTTTTTTTTTATCGAAGGTTTGATTGGCAAAAACATGTCTTGTTTTTTAACAACACAACAAACCGTTTATTATTGTATTTACAATAAAATTTACTTCTATTTAATCAAGCATCATTTAGGTATTTATACGCCTTCCTGTTAGTAAATATAACTATGTTCTATGCAACTTAACACAAATAAAAGTCAAACAATAAGGCTTTATCGATACACCGGTTTTTAAAATGTACTTCTGTTATTAAATATGAAAAAAACAAGAGATTTTTTTAGGAACGGATATAGCAAAAGACATTAATTATAAAAGTGGGGATATTAGCTTAATAGCTTACAGCAATTACTGCAATTACCTCTAATTTTCGCGAAAGAAACAAACTTTACAAACTTTGAAACAATTGATTATTTTATTATTGGGTCGTCCGCTGGTCCTAACTGGACCGCTGGGTACGGGCCCCGAGCTTGCGCTCCTTGCCCGGGCATTCTGCTGGGGTGAACCACCCCAGCGTCGTTCGTTTACCGGCCGACCTGCCGGCCGGCCGGAGGGCGGCTGCTTCTCAGCAGCCGCCTGTGGGCGTTGTGTGGCAGGAATCATTATGTCGCTCGCCGAGCCGGCTTAACGCCGCCACGTCACGTAAATGACGTGATCACTCGGTGGAGAGTAGGTCGCGCGGGAGCGCGCGAGTGGCGTCCGGTGGGCGCGCGTGGAGAGGGGCGAGGTCGCGCAGGTGCGCTTCGCGCCCGCTGTCCGCGCGCGAGAACATCGCGCGCGTCAACCGGACGACGAACTGCTCCACCGATGGGACCTTGAGGTCGCGGGCGATCACGTCATTACGGACGTACCGTCCGGCATTTGTGCACAGACGGAGGGCGGCGTTCTGTTGGACCTGCAGTCTCCGCCGCTGTGAGGCCGAGCACAGTGCGTACCATGCGGGGGCGGCATATGTGAGCCGCGAACGAATGTAGGTCTTATAAATGCCTACTTTCGTCCGCAGCGACAATTGATTTAATTACTGTATCTAAGTACAGAGCATGAGTCGTACTTAGTCGAAACTTATATAGTATTTATAATATTGAACAATTATCCAAGTCGAACAAGTTTTTGTCTCCAAGAAGCAAACTAGTAATTTCGTATTGTAGTTTTCACATTACATCGATCGTGTCACTGCACAGTTTAAAATATAAATAATATAATCTATCATCAAATAAACTTAACATTAGCACTTTTGAATGGCTGTATTTGTTTTTTACTCTACCGCTCATTCAGAAAGCAGACTTATCACTAGAAGAACGGACAAGAAAGTGCCCTGTCGCTCTTTTAAATAAAAGTTGTTCAGATTTACATGTTCAAGAGTTTTGGTGAAAAAAACTGGCAAATATCAAGTTTGATAAAAAAAGAAAAATATAATAGCTATTTGAGTATACCTAGTATATATAGTCAATTCCCTACAAACTGTCTGTACGAAAGGTTCAAAATTTATGTTCAGTAGCTGACATTATATTTGCCAAAAATATGTGTAAACATATGTGTACTGTCTCAGTCGAAGAAACGTCGAGTAGGAGTTTAGTTTGCCCCCACGTGGTCCAACTATTTTGGTATACACTTTGGTTATTTTTGTGCGCTTATTTCAATGTGACGCGATGCGGAGGGCCTTGTGTACGGTCCACATATAAATATGAAGAACTATCAACCTGCCCCGGCGTTGCGCAGGAATTTCTTACAGATTTATTTTATTATTTTACCAGTCCTATTTTACTCGCATATAATATAGATATTTTTAGTTTGTACTTAATACTATATACATGTATATAAAATCAAAGAAATTTTGACTTTAGATTATAAAACCTTTATATAAATATTAGGTAATTAAATTGATTAGGTATTATGCATATAGTGTAGTTTGTATGTATCTATATATATTCTAAGAGCAGATATTAAAGTATTCATGGCTGATTAAACAAAATTCTGAAATATCTATACTTAAAGCTTTTTGACTTAGATACAAATTTTATTGCTATATGTATAGAGAATCCATTACGTACTTGAATATTACTATTCTCTGAATATTAAATCCTGTAGGTAATACCAAAAATTAATAATACTGGCTGTAAATACGAGTATGAAGTGTTCGTTACTATACAGTGATTAATTAAATTCAGCAAAGTTAGTTATCAGTTTCGATCAGAGCACTATAAGTATTCAAATTAATTTACTATCATGTATAACAAGTATCTATGTTTAATACCGACTATTAAATTCTATTATAAAAATAAAATTGAAGCAAAAAAAAATAATTATCGGTATTAGTTTTGATTTGGCAAGTAATTAGAAGTTCTATTCATAGGAATTGCAACTGTGTTCGAAACTGCAACTATCAATTGGTGTCATATATAATTTTATTGGGTAGTAAGAACGCAATCTTTTTCCACAAATGTCATTTCCTTCTGTCATTGTCATACATGCCATTCAATAATCTGTGTACTGTTGCGGCCGTTTTTGATCGCTTCATATTTTATCATGACATACAACGTCAGTTTTCTTCTTAATCTCGTCTT